GAGGAGATAAAGAGAAAATGATAAGGAATTAATTTGTGGGATGTTATTTAAAGGGATTAAAGGTCAAGATCCTCAATATGTTGTTTATGGTAGATCTTAGTGGAATTTTTCTTGATTCGCTTTGAATGACAAGGCTTTAAAGTTCTGTTTACAGATATGAAATATGAAATAGGGGAAGAAGGGTTTTTTTAGTTGCATTTTTAGAGAAAATTATGTTGCTATGTACAGGAAATGAATATGAAATTGATTTATTTGTTTAAGGTTAACATATATTTCTATTAACTATTAACGATGCCCTTGAAGTGATGTCCCAGTGCCTGGAGGCTGTGCGGATCTGGATGGGGAGGAACAGGCTCAGGCTCAACCCTTCCAAGACTGAGTGGCTGTGGCTCCCGGCATCCCGATATAGTCAGTTGACTCCATCACTGACTATTGGGGGCGAGTCTTTGGCCCCCACTGAAAGGGCTCGCAATCTGGGAGTCCTCCTGGATAGGCAGCTGTCTTTAGAGGAACATCTGACGGCTGTTACCAGGGGGACCTTTTATCAGGTTCGCCTGATTCGCCAGTTGCGGCCCTTTCTTGATCGGGATTCCTTGTGCACAGTCACTCACGCCCTCGTCACCTCTCGCCTTGACTACTGCAACGCTCTCTACATGGGGCTCCCCTTGAAGAGCACCCGGAGGCTCCAGCTGGTCCAGAATGCAGCAGCGCGGGTAGTGATGGGAGCAACATGGCGCTCCCATGTAACACCGCTCCTGCGCGAGCTGCACTGGCTCCCGGTGGTCTTCCGGGTGCGCTTCAAGGTGTTGGTTATCACCTTTAAAGCGCTCCATGGCATAGGGCCTAGCTATCTCCGAGACCGCCTGCTGCCACCGACGACCTCCCACCGACCCGTGCGCTCCCACAGAGAGGGCCTCCTCGGGGTGCCATCAGCCAGACAATGTAGGCTGGTGGCCCCCAGGGGGAGGGCCTTCTCTGTGGGGGCTCCTACCCTCTGGAATCAGTTGCCCCCGGAGATAAGAAGAATCCAGGACCTCAATGCCTTCCGTCGTTCCCTGAAAACCCATCTTTTTCAACAAGCCGGGTTGGCCTAAGAAGAAATTTTTAAAATTTTAAAATTTTTAAATTCTTTTAATTAGTCTGTGATTCTTAACTTTCGGGCCAAAATTTATATATATTTTTAAATGTTTTAATATTTGTATCCTATGTTTTTTATCTTGGCTGTACACCGCCCTGAGTCCTCAGGGAGAAGGGCGGTATATAAATTGGAAATTAAATTAAATTAAATTAAAATTAAAAACTGTTAATGGACATTTGCTGATAAAGATAATAATGAGGCTTTATTATTTGTTAATACAAGATGAGATATAGGAGGAAAATATTTTTTGTTTAAATGTTAGAAAAGGTGATCAGTTACTGAAATTATTCTTGTCTTAATAAAGGGGAAAATCATTTCTTCATATTTATTTATTTTTTGCTTTCCCCCTTCTTTTTTTCTCTGCACTATATGTATATGTTTATGATTTGTATTTGTTTTTTCTTCTGAGTTTTAAAATGTAATAAACATTTTTATTGTTTTAAAGGGAAATAGTTTGCCATTGCCTACTTCCTAGGGTTGAGAGAGAGTAATTGGTCCAAAGTCACCCAGTTGGCTTTGTGTCTAAGGTAGGACTTGAACTTACAGTCTCCTGGTTTTAGCCTAATGCATTAACTACACCAAACTGGCTCCTGCATGGATTTTAGATTTAAATTTAAGGGGATGCAGTGGATCAGTGGCTAAGACGCTGAGCTTGTCGATCGAAAGGTCGGCAGTTCAGCAGTTCGAATCCCTAGTGCCGTGTAATGGGGTGAGCTCCCATTACTTGTCCCAGCTTCTGCCAACCTAGCAGTTCAAAAGCACGTAAAAAATGCAAGTAGAAAAATAGGGACAACCTTTGGTGGGAAGGCAACAGTGTTACGTGTGCCTTTGGCATTAAGTCATGCCGGCCACATGACCCCAGAGACATCTTCAGACAGCGCTGGCTCTTCGGCTTTGAAACGGAGATGAGCACCGCTCGCTATATTCGGGAACGACTAGCACGTATGTGCGAGGGGAACCTTTACCTTTGCCTAATATATAGGAGAACATGCATACCACTTTTCAGAATTCTGGGCTCAAAAGACACAAATAAACTAATCAAACTTATTTAATCATGCAGATTTGAAACACATGCACATTTTTTCCCATTTTACTGAGGAACAAATTGCTTGCAAAAAATACACACACGGAAAGCAAAACAAATTGACACAATGAGATAGTGACCTCCAAAAGAAAGATCTAATTTCTCATCCTTAATCAGTTGAATCTCAAAACCATTTCAGAGATCTGTGAGCACCAGTAGTGCTACCAACCTGTCCCTCAACCCATTCATTTGCAATTATGTCATCCATCAAAGTAGTCAAAATTGCTTCTATCCCAGACAGTCAATATTGTCCCAAACTACAAGGGATTGAAATGTTACCAAATCCATTTCACAGAGGAAATGTAGAGGTAAAAGAAAGAAAGAATCTATTCAACATTCTCTGTATTGGTTAACATTTTATTACATCATGTATACATGTTGGGCTTTTCATAACATTTACTCTACTGCAGATTTAACTTTTATTTTCAGAATCAACATATAACTTTTTAATTTGCCTTTCTGGATCAGAATTCAAATAATAACAAACCAGTAGGTAAATCGCTGAGGTATACTAAACTTACATTCAGTGAAATAAGAGGTATACTGTTACCTATTGTTCTAGTTTCCATTTTTATTACATAGGTTTTTGTAAAAAAAAAAAAATCTGTTTGAATTGATTTACACGCTGTAGAGAGATATTGAGCAACCTAAAAGTATAGTTAATCAATCAATAATATTGTATGGTGATTCCATTCCATTTTGTTAGTGAATAGTCTTTGGTAGATTCTACACAACTTATTTTCAGGAAGCCACTTTTAGTAATAGTGAGACAAATTATGAATTTTGCCACAAGATATAATGATAGCCACCATTATAGATGGCTTTAAAAGTGGATAATACACTTTTGACAATCTGAGACTACTATATATGTTTACTATAGTTTACTATACTACACATATAAGAGAGAGAGAGAGAGATGCATATTACATGAGAAACAACATGTTTCTTAACATCAGTTCCTGAGGAACAATAGCAAGAGAAGTCTTCTTATTTCTACTTGCAAGCTGCTTATGGGCATCTGGCTGGCACTGGGAAAATAGAATGCTGGATTGCAACTTTGGTTCTCATTCTGGAGCCATAGTGGTACAGTGGTTAGAATGCAGAGTGCAGGCTAACTCTGCCCATAGGCAGGAGTTCGGTCCTGACCAGCTCCAAGTTGATTCAGCCTTCCATTCTTCCAGGGTCAGTAAAAGTCAGTAAAATGAGGACCCAGGTTGTTGGGGGCAATACACTGATATTTGCAAACCACTGAGAGAATGCTACAAGTACTATTGATATTAGTTGTAACAGAAGTCTTTGTCTTGCATTAGCTTGCAATAGTTCTTACCTTCACAGTAGGACCTAGCATGTTTCAGTCCATGGGGTCACAAAGAGTTGGGCATAACTTAGCAACTGGACAACAATAAAGATAAACCAATCCTCCATTCTCTCCACCACCCCCTCTGTCTTTATATATAGGTTGGTTTTTCAATCTCCTCTCCCTTTTTTTTTTCTTTGTTCTTTCACACACACACACTTCCTGTTCTATCTGGCTTTTAAATCTTTTCTTCCACTGAATTGCTTTCTCCAAAAGCTAAGATATATATCCCCAATTCCTGCTTATCCAAAGTTCACGGTCTTTCTCTCAAGCAAAAAGAGAGCGAGAACGTGAGAGAGGAGAGAGAGAGAGAGAGAGAGAGAGAGAGAGAGAGATATTTTGTGCAAAGCATAAAAACTGCAGTGTGCATTCTATGTCTAGAATGTCTAACACTACCCACCCACCCCCCACCCCCGGATTATTCAATGCTGCTTCCCTCTGTATTGCTCAAATGCTATTTCCACAATTGCCATGGGCACCATCGTTTCTATTTCCCATTAACATGTTTTCATAAGACTCTGCCTCACAGCTGAGGTGAAGTCCTTGACCGAGCAGAAAACTAAACTGGTATGAAATTTGTTCCCTTTGTTAGTAATGCCTGTCCTGTAGGCAAGATGATAACAAATGATTCTGCCCTTGTTTCAATTCCACAGGCTCTATTAAATACAGGGATTGGCCCTCAAGATTTATTTCTGTGTGCTCCCACCAAATGTCACCTGCTATGAGGAAAACAACAAACAATTAGTTTCCTGGACATGAGATGATAATGGGGCTGGAGAGGGAGGCAAATTTTGACTCATGGTTATAGTTAATCTTTCAATTCAATGATCTGTCAAAACACTCTGATTTGGTACAGCTGTTTCGAATAAGTATCTTCAAGGAAGCCTGATCATCTATTGATATCACAAGTTAATTGCTCTCTCTTGGACAGGTATTCCTGGAATAGCATTAACACAGGTCTAAAAGTTGTCCAATGTTGTCAGCAAATCTAGGTTCTGTTTATACCAAACATAGCAGATGAAAGAAAGCTGATTTAATTTAATTTAATTTAATTTCCAATTTATATACCGCCCTTCTCCCTGAGGACTCAGGGCGGTGTACAGCCAAGATAAAAAACATAGAATACAAATATTAAAACATTTAAAAATATATATAAATTTTGGCCCGAAAGTTAAGAATCACAGATTAATTAAAAGAATTTAAAATTTTTTTAAATTTCTTCTTAAGCCAACCCGGCTTGTTGAAAAAGATAGGTTTTCAGGGAACGACGGAAGGCATTGAGGTCCTGGATTCTTCTTATCTCCGGGGGCAACTGATTCCAACTGATTACTGGGCTCGGTTTGAAAATAAGCAAGGCATGTAATAGATGACTGCTAGAACCAAGGTCAAAAGTAGCCAAACCATGCACTTAAGAATCTAAGCAGTATCTGCTGTAATGGACCCGTGGCCCATCTAAATCCAGCAATGGCTCATCAACTGTACATGGAAGCCAGTAATCTCCCAGTAGATGGCCTTCAAAAGTAGTCACAGATACAGGGAGAGTTATGCCATGAAACAACAGGAAAGTGAAAACTGATTTTATCTGAAGCTGTGGCCGGTATAGAGGAAGGGAGCCTTCGGGTCAGTCTTGGTTTCTGAAACCACCTGGATAAATCCATGCAATTTTCTTGGCAGCATTTTCACAAGTGATTTGTTCTTACCTTTTCCTAGGGCTGATAGAGAATTACTGTTCCATAGTCACTCAGCTGGCTTGATGTCTAAAGTTTCCTAGTTTCTAAAGTGCAGGCCTTAACCAATACATCAATCTGGCTCTCTAAAGAGGAAGGAACCAGTGCAAAATAAGTGCACTGTAATTTAACACCAGCTGTCTGCAATTAAAGTAAGTTCAAATCTTGCCAGGCTCAAGGTTGACTCAGCCTTCCATCCTTTCTAAGGTAGGTGAAATGAGGACCCAGTTTTTGGGGGCAATAAGCTGACTTTGTATAAATATACAAAAAGTATGAAGGCTATTGCTTAACGCACTGTAAGCTGCCCTGAGTCTCCGGAGAAGGGCGGCATATAAATCAAATTTTTTAAAAAATAAAAATAAGTGGGCTTCCCTGATGCTCCAAACAATATTTATTTGTTAAATTTATTTGCCATCTCTCTCTCTCCATGAGCCTAATGAAAGATGTTGCTCGAGGATCAAAGGCAAGGCATATCTATACCAGTTTAAAGTTGCCAGCAGATTCTGGGCTGATTCCATCTTGAAAGGGTTCACCAGACTAACTGAACAAATGATCAGTGATGGCCATCCCATTGCACCTACAGCAAAACTGCAGTGGTTAATTGCAAGCTTGGAGGAAAAACACCACTTAAGGATTAGAAGAGTTGAGGTTGATTTTAAGCTGCCCCCATATATGAGGGTGAAATGAAGGCAACCTGATAAGTACACAGCCAAAAAAAGAAAAAAAAAAGGTAGCCAGGAGCATTCAGACCACGATTTAAGTGCAATTCGGGAAAACTGATCACGTTGTTCCACCGTAAAATCCAACCTCTTTCCCTGAAGGTTAACACTTTTGAAGTCCATATTTGTTCTGGGATCCATAGGTTTTAAATCCCCTTTAGTTCATTTGCATGCTGGGACCTGCTGCGTAATCCCTTTCTAACCAGCTAGAAGAGTCACTGGGAGTCAGACAGTATATACATTTAGCAAATTATTATTATTCTTAAGAGAATGTTCAAGCACTTTCTAAACTTGCATAAGATCTGCTTGGTGAAGCAGAACCTTGGAGTTCTTGCTAGAGTTTTAAAAGCATGTTTAAAAGCTCTTTCCTTTCCACAGTACAGATTATGATCTGTGTATGGGGTGGGGGAAGGGAACTGCTTAACTTCCCACCTCCCCTTGACAGGAATGAAGTAACATTGCTTTTGGCTAAAAGCATTTAACCACATTCAAGCCTGCGTGTGGTCTTGTCTTGTGATTTTCATATCAGAAAGCCCATCCAAGAGATCTGATGTGTATGTGTGTATGTGTGTATGTATATATATATATCCTCTCCGCAACAGGATCCACATAAATCTTACAAGTCAACAAAATGCATTATGATGGAGCCTGCCTGATTTATCAAAAGGTGGTGAAATACAGTTATCTGCAGCCTGTCAAACACTTTGTTCCATATATCTCATTTTTCAGACACATTGGGAAAGATGAGCGAAATACAAAACAGGCTCTGAAATAATGGGGAGACCAGGCAGCCCTCAGCTTCTGCATCCTCCACCCTCCCCTCCACACCTCTACCATCTGTGTTAAACAGAAATCTGCCTTTGACTGCAGCTGTCTCCTTTGCAGCTTTGATGACAGTTGAAAATATAAATGATTGATTTTTACCTACGCCGGGTGTGGTGGAACAAATGGGAGAGATGGCTGGCAGTTAAGTTTGGAGATGCAAAAGAACATCATTTTGTGATTTGGCAAATGTTGCCTTCTGTTTTGCCACTGATTTGGATCATCATAATTAGAATACAGGTAGTCCTCAAATTACAACCATTTGCTTAGTGACCGTTCGAAGTTACAATGACACTGAAAAAAGTGACTTATGAGTGGTTTTCACATTTATGACGATTGCTGCATCCCATGGTCACGTGAACCAAAATTTAGACTCTTGACAACTGATTCATATTTATTCATAAGGTCGCTCTCAAGACCTTTTTATTCCACCAGGCGGGCCTGGCCTAATCTTTTTCCCCTTTTTCTCTTTTAATACATAAATTTTAATCTGTTTTTAAATGATTGGGGTGTTTTAAATCTGTCTGGGCCAAATTTGTTTAATTCGGTTTTATTCTGTTTTTTAAATTTTGTATTTATGTATTTTATTGGCTGTTCACTGCCCTGAGTCCTTCGGGAGTAGGGCGGTATATAAATCAAATAAAGACTAAAGACTAAGATATCAGTTGCAGTGTCCTGGGATCAGGTGTTCAACTTTTGTGACCTTCTGATGAGCAAAGTCAATAGGGAAGCCAGATTCACTTAACAACCGTGCCACTAACTTAACAACTGCAGTGATTTACTTAACAACTGTGTCAAGAAAGATCGTAAAATGGGGCAAAATTCACTTAATAACGATCTGACTTAGAAATTTTGGGCTCAATTGTGGTTGAAGGTCCTATTACCTTCGAGAGTATATTTTGTCTAAAATGACATTGCTGCCATCCCAGTAAAGCTGATTCACAATTATTTACTGGTTTGCTGAGCAAAGCATTGTCATATGGGCCTAAAAGCTCTCGTGATTATAGAAAAAAAATGAACAATGTACCTCAAGAGATGGAGTACTGGGGAGAGGGAGGCAGAGACGAATTATTTTTGTCAGTTTCTCAGTTTCTCCTCTTTTTTTTTCAAATCTAGAAAAAGTAGATGATTTGTAATATTTTTTTCAAATTATCTATGTCTCAGCTAGTGTAGGCCTGACCTGGTAGGAACAAAAGGAGCCAGGACACAAACATGGCAAAACTCTGTTTACTTCCCACAAACAGATCGGAGCCTCAGAACATGACAAGTTGGTATGATTAGGGTCCTTGTAAAGTCAGTGCTGGGAGTGTCCACCTCCCAGTGCCTTTTTATGTCTCTGGGCCCTGCCTTTGTTTGGCCGGCTGCCACGCTGACCGGTAGCCACCATCCAGCTCCAGTTGGTGTTGGGGCAATGTATGTCCAGCTACCGTAGTGTCCACCAGGGCTGCAGCCCATCCAGCAGCAAATGTCCCTCTTGGCACCTGGAAGGTGGTGTGTGGTCGCTGTGGAAGGCCACCTGGCCTCATCAGCTGGGAGGCGCAGGTCCGGCAGCCAATGCCATGGCTGTTCAGCAGCATCATCCCAGGAAGAGCAGCTGGGCGGTGTAGAACCAGCCGGGATTGATCAGTTGGCCGGTGCAGTATCCGCTGGGGAACATCGCGGCCATTGGGCATCATTAGAGATGGCCCCGCCACTGCTGAGCTGCCGTTGCCGAGCCACTCTCGCTGCAATTCCGCCCCCCCTCCCCGGGTATGGCGAGCCCCGGGCTCGACACTATGACTTAGGGTTTAAACTGTAGGCTCCAAGTTGCATTTTAGTGCATACATGCTTTTCTTCACAATCTTGCCTGATATATACAAGTAGTCTTATGGACGGTCTCTTACTAACCAATCAAAATTATGACAGACCTCCCCAGGGCTGGATTTGAAGTTCTGACAGATGTCTCACCCAATCACATGATTGAATTTTGGGTGCTCAGCAACCTTCCCAGAATGATGGCCATTCTTCAGTTACATGACCATGGTTTACTTTTTTTTTTCCTGGAAACTAACATTTACTTCCAGTTTCTGGCAAAAAAACACCCATTACAGATAATGGATTCACTAAACAACCATGGTGATTGCTTAATGACCATATGTTCATTTAATGACTGTGGTGATTTTCTACTGCAAAAATTGTTGTGAAATCGGTCATGTGATGACCTGCTTAACCGGTATGGCTTATATTCATAATTCTGGTCTCAATTACAGCAGTAAGTGGAGGATTACCTGTGCTGGTTTGTTGACCATTGTATTCTGTTTTCAGAACTAAACCTTTTCGTACATTTTTCCATCATATACTTCCTGCCTTGACTACTGCAATGCTCTCTACATGGGGCTCCCCTTGGGGTGCACCCGGAATGGTCCAGAATGCGGCCGCGCAGGGGATTATGGGAGCGACGGGGCGCTCACATATAACACCTCTCCTGCGCGAGCTGCACTGGCTTCCTGTGGTCTTCTGGGTGTGCTTCAAGGTGTTGGTGACCACCTTTAAAGCGCTCCATGGCTTATGGCCAGGGTATTTGCGAGACTGCCTTCTGCCGCCAATAGCCTCCCACCGACTGGTTCGCTCGCACAGAGAGGGCCTCTTCAGGGTGCCGTCGGCCAGACAGTGCCGGCTGGCAACCCCCAGGGGGAGAGCCTTCTCTGTGGCAGCACCTGCCCTCTGGAATGACCTGCCCCCTGAAATACGCACAATATCAGACCTCCGGACTTTTCGTCGGGCCCTGAAAACACACTTATTCCATCTAGCCGGGCTGGCTTGATCCCATCCTCTCAGTTTTTAATTGAATTCGGTTTTAATTGGGTTGTTTTTAAACTGGGCCAAAATTATTTAATTGTTTTTTAAATTGTTTTTTAAATTTTATATGCTATGTTTTATCTTGGCTGTACACCGCCCTGAGTCCCGCAGGAGAAGGGCAGTATAGAAATAAAATAAAATAAATAAATAAATGAATGAATGAATAAATGAATGAAACTCTTGAAGCGCTGCATGGCAAAATTCAATTCAACATAGTTCTTAAATCAGCATTAACAGTTGCCTTCTAAATCTCCCACAATGATCCAAGGATAATTCAAATGGCTGAGAAACCTTGGAACTCCATGCCCCTCGTATCTCTCTTTCATTGCTACAGATGGTCCTCGCTTAGCGACCATAATTGGGACCTGCAACTTTACTACTAAGTGAAGCATGTGATCATGGTGGACATACATCACTTGATAGGATGCTGTATTGAAGCCCCACTGAACTCTACATGAGTGGATATGGAGGTATGGTTGTAACCAGTGGTGGGATTCAGCCAGTTCGCACCACTTCGGGAGAACCGGTTGTTAACTTTCTGAGCAGTTTGACAAACTGGTTGTTGAAAGAAATCATTAGGGCAGGGAACCAGTTGTTAAATTACTTGAATCCCACCACTGGTTGTAACAGAAGCCTGCATTCATTTGGACATAGAAGATTCCTATTGAAAGACAGGTTTTAATCTTAATACCATTCACACTCTAAAGACAATCAATACCATTCAAAGTTACAATGGCACTAGAAAAAATGACTTATGATCTTTTTGAGACTTGTGGCCATTGTAGCATCCCCATGATCACATGATCAAAATTCAGATGCTTGGCAACTGGTTCTGCCAGTTAGCTATGAACCAGTTATGAACCATAGTTAGGGTTGGACTAGAAGACCTCCAAAGTCCCTCTCAACTCTGTTATTGCTATTCTGTTATTCAGTGTCATGGGGTCATGTGATAACCTTATGTGACCTTCTGACAAGCAAAGTCAATGGGGAAATCCAGATTCACTTAACAACCATGCTACTCACTTAAGAACTGCAGTGATTCATTTAACTGTGTCAAGAATGGTTGTAAAATGGAGCAAAATTCACTTAACACATGACTTGGTTAGAAACTTTGGGCTCAATTGTGGTCACAAGTCGAGCACTACCTGTAACCATTTCTCAGCTGTGACTCCAGGTACCATGGGAGTTGAAATTAATCCCCCTTCCTTGTTTTTCTAGCGAAGATGGTCACATGTTCCATCTGTTAACAGCAATGTCCCAAAGGCAGTGGTGGGATTCAGCCAGTCCGGTCCGGTCCGGTCCAGTCCAGGCAAACCAGTATTTAAATTGCTGGCTGGCCCCTCCCCTCCCTCCCCGCCCCTTCCAGGAGTCCCCATGCACTCCATTTTGGCTCCCAGGTAAGTTCAGGGAGGCCTCCTAGGCACAAAATAGGGCATGGGGGGTATGGTGCGGGCCCCCCGTGGCCCATTTTCGCTCCCAGGAGGCTGCAAGGAGGCCTCCTAAACCCAAAATGGAGAATGGGGGATAGCACCCCCCCTCAGCCCATTTTCGCTCCCAGGAGGCTGCAGGGAGCCCTCCTAGGCCCAAAATGGGGCACAGGGGGTCGGCACGTTCCCCCTGCACCCTGTTTTTGCTCCCAGGCGGGAGCAGGAGGCCGAGTACTGCCTGTCTCACCCCCTGGCCACGCCCACCATGGCCACGCCCACCCAGCCAGTAATTAGGACAGAGAACCAGTTGTTAAATTATTTGAATCCCACCACTGTCCAAAGGTGCTTTTTCAAGAGGCAACTGGACTTTCTGGAATGTCCAGTTGCCTCTTGAAAAAGCATCTTTGGGACAACCATGGCCTGGATGACTGAGAATCTCCATAGACATGTTAACAGCAACCTTTTTGGCATTGCTGATCTGAGCAATCACTTGTGCAATAGAATCTCCAGTGATGGAGTGTTGAATGTGCTCAAGGATCGCGCCCAATAACTCCACAAGCAAGTATTCATCAATTCAGATATAGTTTATTAACAAGGCATCTTATCATTATAGGTACAGTGCTGGAACTGCTGCTGGACCGCATGGCTGACCCTTAAGTACCCCTTGGGTGTGGCTAAGGTAAGGAGGGGTTATTGGGCTAGGGTGGACCTTGGGGGTTGGCTTGCCCAGCCCCCCTGCTTCTAGCTCTGGGTCAGAGGCAAGGCATTTATTCCTGACATGGAGTATTCACAGCTCCAGAAGGCAAGTTATTTTATTGATTAATGATTCCCATCATCAAATAATTCTCTTTTCTTCTAAGTAAGATCTCTCTTCAACAAGCTTCCACCCATTACTTCTTCTCCTACCCTCTGGACATAGGGAAGAATGGGTGAATATCCTAAAAACTATAGGAATCCACAGGTTGCTTTCTTGCTTGTATTTCCTCAAAGAATTTATCCATTTATCAGAAAGTTCCAGCCCGAATTTTGTGATGCTGCTGTGGTGTTCCATTTCAGGACTGAGCAAACCAGCCAGGTCTCTTCCTTCTGCTCACTTCTGCTTTTTTTTTTAATCCATTTAAAAAAAAATCTTATATAAATCACTCTTTGGCAAAGAAGGAGGATGGTTGACCTGGCGAAGGAGCAGAATTCTTTATTTTGATTTCCTCATTTCTCAGGGGCACCTTTGATGGAGATTTTTGCACACAAGGGGAAATGTGGGATTTAGTAAATAGAAGAGAGGTGAGAATGTAAGTGATTGTTGGCAGGGTCTCCTTTGCAAATGTTAGTTTTCTCCCTGCACGGGGTGTGCAATCCTAAGTGAATCAGCCCTTTTGTATTTTATTTGGTCGCCGACTTAATACTGTGCTGTACACTGTCTAAAGCCTTAAGATTAAAATGATATATATTCAGTAGAGGAACTAAAATAATCCCCACCAGCTGGAATACAGGCAAGAAAAGCTGTTCATCTCTCAAAGAAGTTTGAATTAGCTGTAAAGTCTTCTCCTGAAAATAGAAATAGTTTTGCAGAAGTGAAGACATGCTGCAGCATCGCCAAAGTAAGGGTGTAAAGCCATAGCATTCGAGGAAAACGTATTATTCTCTAGAATCTACAGTAAGCTAAACAACTTTGGGGTTGGATGGGAGGGAAAAAGACAACTGTGAAAAAAAAAATCAAGCCAACTGCTTGTTACAATTTTGGTCGACAGCTGTTTCTGCATCCTCCACCTTTTTTTCCAAAATAAAAAAAATAAATAAATCCTTCTTCCGAAATTGAAAAAAAGTATTCCTTTTGGAACACAGCACTTCCCAAAATATATGAGGGTTATCCGTGTTTGTGTGTGTCACTCTGTGTGTGTGTGTGTGTGTGTGTGTGTGTCTGTCTGTGTGTATGTGCATGGCTTAGTTGTTGTTTCTGTTTTCATTCAATCTTCTTTTTGCCAAAAGTGCACAGAGTTTACTTTATATATTTCCCCCCTCCCCCTGGGATAGATTTGAAAATATACTTGAGTGGACAATTAAACCCCCCCTCTTGTGAAGAAACACAAGCACACACACACACACACACACATGCCCTTCGCTGAAGTCCCGTCCCCCCCTTCAATGATATGTTTTCTGTTTAGGACTAAGCAAGCGGGAGGCAGTTCCATCAACGCTGCTTCAAACGCTCCTCTTTTGCACCTCTTTTGTAAAGCATAAATATGGACGGGGTCCAGTTTTCCCATTCTGTAGAGTTTTTGGCTGCAGGAACCCGGTATGGAAGTCATTTCCCTTGTAGGTGCAGTAGCTGCTTTTCACAGACTCAACAAAGACATGAAATATCATTAACATCTGATTCCGAAAGCCTGACAACCACTTCTTTGTTTTAACACAGCCATCCGAGGAAAGCTGTTACATATTACTATATCACTAAGCAAAATTGTACTTATTGGCCTGCAAGAGAGGCCGTGGAAGGTTTTGCTCATTTGTGCTGGCACAGGGATCTCTGAATACGACTATTGTTTTTCCCAAGGCTTCAATCCTGCTCCACTGAAATCTTGGGAGTTTTGCTGTTGGCTTCAAGTGGAGCAGAACTGCAGGAACCCCAGGGTGGGATTTCATTTTATTTTTCAAGTTTTAAGGAAAACAAACCACCCCACCACAGCCACTCCACCTGAAGAATCAGCAACTTGGTCCCCTTCAGCATTATTTTCTGCAAATTCTGGAACTTGAGGTCCAACATATCTGGAGTGGAATATGCAAAATATGGCCAAGCAATGCGATTCTCTATCATGGCCTTTAGACATGGACAAACTAAGAGACTCCAGATGGGCTGTGTGCCACAACCAGCTGTTTTCCAACAAAGAAAAATGAATGAACCTCTCAGAAGGTCTGCTGGAATCACTCCTGCTTCTGAACATTTTCTCTGTCACCTGAAGTAGTTGTTTATCTCCTCCTAATGAAAGGGCAAGGGGATGCAGTGGCTCAGTGGCTAATACGCTGAGCTTGTCAATCGAAAGGTCGGCAATTCAGCGGTTGAAATCCCTAGTGCCGTGAAATGGGGTGAGCTCCCGTTACTTGTCCCAGCTTCTGCCAACCTAGCAGTTTGAAAGCACGTAAAAAATGCAAGTAGAAAAATAGGGACCACCTTTGGTGGGAAGATAACAGCGTTCCGTGCGCCTTTGGCATTCAGTCATGCCACGGAGACGTCTTCAGACAGTGCTGGCTCTTCAGCTTTGAAACGGGGATGATCACCACCCCCTAGAGTCAGGAACGACTAGAACATATGTGTGAGGGAATCCTTTACCTTTAATGAAAGGACCTGCTCTGTTTATCCAGTTAGCTCAGCTATTGGCCATGTGGCAAAATGGTCAATAGAGGTTTGACATCTAGCTATGTCTATTATGGCTGCCATTCTGAGAAAGTGGAAGCCTTACCATGAAAGCCCTTTGAGGAAGGGCTCACAGGATGCATTCAGAATCCAAAATGTGTTTATTGGTCCCAAAATTATTTTCTGTTTCACTGCTAGAAATGTCCTAACTGGGAAAAACAGTTATTGAACATGGGCTCTTCAGCAAGTATATTATCAGATCTGTCATGCTGTCATATCCCTCTCCCTGTTCCAGACATTCTATTGCTTTTCTTTCTTTTTTTTCTTTTCTTTTTTTTCTTTCTTTCTTTCTTTCTTTCTTTCCTTCCTTCCTTCCTTCCTTCCTCTCTCCCTCTCTCCCCCCCTCACAGTCTCTCTCTCTCTCCTTAGCATTTGGGAGAAGTAAAAGAAAATGAAATAATGTGAACCAAGTACTCACACCAGTTTTTTCAAGAGAAATTAACCTGGTTCAGTTTGGCACTCATGAGTGTTGTTTAATTTAGATTGTTGTTGATTGGTTAATAGGTTTCAAATGTATAAAACAACTCAAAACTTGTATCTTGTTTTTGTTTATTGTTCTGCTGTTTTGCATTGTCTCCAGGTGCCCTTTGGGGTTTTTTTTTACAGCATCGTCCTATCCATCAACCTGCTTTCTGTAGAGCCCCATGGAAGAGGCAGGGTGTGGGGGAGAGGAAGGCTAATTAAGGGTGTTGTTAAATTAAGCCAAGAATTCACCTCCACCTTTTCCAAACAAGCCAATGTTTCTGCAGGCTTCAGCAATGCTTTTCTGACGCGTGGTGGGAGAAAAACCGAGATAGAAGTCTTGCCTGGGGCACATATATTTCCAAAGCTTATTGGGAGGGAAAAAGGGAAGCATGTAAAAGACAAAAATTATACTTTTAAAAAATGTGTTCTAATTTTTAAGGCAGTCAGGCTTTCTCTAAATGTTTTCAGAAAGATAAGGAGAAGGAGGAGGAGGAGGAGAAGGAGAAAGAGAAGGAGAAGGAGGAGAAGGAGAAAGAGAAGGAGAAGGAGGAAAAGGAGGAGAAGGAGAAAGAGAAGGAGAAAGAGGAGGAGGAGGAGAAGGAGAAAGAGAAGAGGAGAAGGAGGAGAAGGAGGAAGGAGAAGGAGAAAGAGAAGGAGAATGAGGAGGAGGAGGAGAAGGAGAAAGAGAAGGAGAAAGAGGAGGAGGAGGAGAATGAGGAGGAGGAGGAAGGAGAAGGAGAAGGAGGAGAAGGAGAAAGAGAAGGAGAAGGAGGAGAAGGAGGAGGAGGAGAAGAAAGAGGAGGAGGAGGAGAAAGGAGAAGGAGAAAGAAGGAGAAAGAAGAGAAGGAGAAAGAGAAGGAGAAGGAGGAGGAGAAGGAGAAAGAAGAGGAGAAGGAGAATGAGGAGGAAGGAGAAGGAGAAGGAGAAGGAGGAGAAGGAGAAAGAGAAGGAGAAGGAGGAGAAGGAGAAGGAGGAGGAGAAGAAAGAGGAGGAGGGAGAAGGAGGAGGAGAAGGAGAGAAGAGGAGGAGGAGGAGGAGAAAGAGAAGAGGAGGAGGAGGAGGAAGGAGGAGGAGAAAGAGAAGGAGAAAGAGGAGAGGAGAAGAAAGAGAAAGAGAAGGAGGAGGAGGAGGAGAAAGAGAAGGAGAAAGAGGAGGAGGAGGAGGAGGAGGAGGAGGAGAAGAGAAAGAGAAGAGGACAAGGAGGAGGAGGAGGAAGGAGAAGGAGAAGAGAAAGAGAGGAGAAGGAGGAGAAGGAGAAAGAGAAGGAGAAGGAGGAGAAGGAGAAAGAGAAGGAGAAGAGGAGGGGGAGGAGGAGAAGGAGAAAAGGAGAAGGAGAAAGAGAAGAGGAGAAGGAGGAGGAGGAGGAAGGAGGAGGAGAAGGAGAAGGAGAAAGAGGAGAAGGAGGAGAAGGAGAAAGAGGGAAGGAGGAGAAGGAGAAAGAGGAGGAGGAGGGAGAAGGAGGAGGAGAAGGAGAAAGAGAAGAGGAGGAGGAGGAGGAGGAGGAAGGAGAAGGAGAAAGAGAAGGTGAAGGAGGAGGAGGAGAAGGAGAAAGAGAAGGAGAAAGAGGAGGAGGAGGAGGGAGAAGGAGGAGGAGGAAGGAGAAAGAGAAGAGGAGGAGGAGGAGGAGAAAGAGAAGAGGAGGAGAGGAGGAAGGAGGAGGAGAAAGAGAAGGAGAAAGAGGAGAAGGAGAAAGAGAAAGAGAAGGAGGAGGAGGAGGAGGAGAAAGAGAAGGAGAAAGAGGAGGAGGAGGAGGAGGAGGAGGAGAAGGAGAAAGAGAAGAGGACAGGAGGAGGAGAGGAGGAAGG